AAAAAAATCCTTCTTCCTTTTGAGTTTCATACCTCTTACCTTCATCTTCTCATTGCTATCACCCAGTGGCTAAACCTCCTGGTCAGTTCTACTGAAATCCTAGCACTTCTCCCTACCATAGATTCTGACATCAACCAAGCCAAATTCAGTGTCTCAACAGCCCAACAGATACTCTAACATCACAACATTTTTATTTCTCTCTTGCAGGGGAGACCACTTCCTCTCTTCTAGTTCCCACAACCATGATTCACTCCTTGGACTTACCATAATCTATAATGTCTAGTATCAAACATTTTCCAGTTCTACAACTTCAACTTCGGACCAGACGCTCTTTCAACAACAACATGACCAAATGAAGCTCCACAGTCAATTTGCATCCTCATTGACTGCTCCCCGGATCCCATTCATATCCTTAAGCAATTGACACACCATGGCTAATCATCTCTTAAACTGTCAACGTCTTTGATCCTCTGAATCTCACATGAACTAGACCACATCCCACCCTTGGTCAGTTCTATATATCCTGTGTTCAGGGATCCCATAGTTATACTGCTGGAAAAAATCCAATCACATAGTTGCATATTTTGTTCCTACTGCAAATGTACGGGTCTAACCTCAGCATCACTCAGCAACCCTTTTCCTGGTCACTGTCTGTGCTCCATTTAACTTCTTTGGTGATGATTCCAAACCTCACAACTCTCTTCAAGCTTCCTGTTCAACTCCTAGCCCCTTCACTCCTATTGAACACATGTATCACCTCCCTGCTATTCCAATCTAGTGGAGCAATGTAACTCATCACTTTTCTATTTTCCAAATCTATTACAGCAAGACACCCATGAATTACAATGTTTTCCAACAGAACCTTCTACAATGATGCAAATGTTCTATATCTGTGCTGTCCAGCATGGTGGCCACTAGTAACATGTGACTAATAAGCACTAGAAATGTGGCTACTGCAGATGAAGAACTGAATTTTTTATTTTCACTAAATAGCCACATGTGGCTACTGTATTAAATACTATAATTTTCAACCCCTCCTTCTGCCACTTCTAAGTCACAAGTCATAAGTCCCTTTTATGTCTGACGATTTTATCTGTAAAACACCTGTGTCTGTGCTTTCCATTCCAATGCCAACTGCCCTAGTTGATCATGCCATTATTTTACTAAAATTCTTCAATATCTCCCAATTATCTTCATAATAAAGTTTGTGCTCCTTATCTGAAATCTAAGACATTTCAGGTTCTAGCTAGTCTCTGCTTACTTTCTGTAGCCTCATCTCATCTCTCATTACTCTCTGGCATTGAACTTTTATATTCCAGAAACATTTAACTACTTACATTTCTCTATACATACCCCCATGCTACTTTATATTTTGATCATCTACTTCCTACTTCCATCTTTCCAATACGGACAATTCTCAATTCAGATGTCACCTCCTCCAGTAAACCTTCCCCACAACCCAAATTAAAACTAAGTACTTTCCTTATCAGCCCCCCAAGGACCCTGTACAGATCTCAAATATTACCACTGAACACAGTAAATATCTGTGAGTGTACCAGTCTTTCCACTACTCAATAAGTAGCAAGAGTGTCTGGCACGCTGGTTAGCATAACTTAAGGACTCAATACATGTCTGCCACACTGGCAGAAGGAGCCAAAATACATCCCAGGAGCACAAAATTCTAACACTTACTCTCCCCACACCACCTGTCCTTTTTATTTTTTTCTTCTCTCCAGTCAGATTTTGGTTAAACAGAAGTAGAAATAGTGG